GGCTTGGAAGGGACCTTCAAAGGTYATGAAGTCCACCCCTCTGCCAYGAGCAGGGACACCTTCTACCAGGTTTTTCTGTTGCTTTTGGGAAGGGTTTTCAAGTTTCTTTAAAGTCAACAGTTTAAATGGGTCCAGAAGGTAGGTTAAGCGTTCAAACACGTGGCCCCGGGGGCTGGGTAGGAGCAGCCAGGATCAGTGGGGACGTGAAGGCTCTGCCTGCTGGGAACGTTGTCCTGGCTTCARTGGCACATGTCCCCAGGGAGCGGGGTGTTTGGAGGTGGATGTTGTGGTAGTGCTGACCGTCAGTGGTCCTTGTGCCCCTGCAGAGAGAAGTGTAGCACTTACCTCCCTGCGCCCCGCCAAGGCCGAGGGCCCGAGCCGGCTGCGACGGCACCCCAGGATGCGGCCGGACCCGGCGGAGCCCAGCGACGCCCCCGTCTCCTCCTCGTCCTCCTCCTCCCAGTCATCCACATCCTGCTTGCCCCACCTGCCCCGGAAGCGCTTCCAGATGTACTCCAAATCGCCTTTCTACCGGGCGGGGGGACACGGCGAGGCCCCCGACAGCCGGGCCAGCCCCGAGGGCCCCGCGGCGCCTCTGCGCTGTCCCGAGGACCGGCCGCAGTTCACCACGCGCGGGACCTTCAACCCCGAGAAGGGCAAACAGAAACTCAAGAGTGTGAAAACCTCCCCCCCAAAAACCAAAGAGCCCCCAGATGGGGGGCCCGGAGGGGGACTCAAGAGGAGCCCCGAGGCYGACTGCACCGCCACCCAACACCTCGTCCTTCTGGGGAGCAATGAGTTCATGGTGTGAGATGCTCCAGCCCAGGGCGGTGTCCGTGCCGGGGCAGCGCTCTGATGGCTTTCTCATTAACACCAGAGGATGAATTCTTCATTAAAAAGGCCGGGAGGGGACAGTTTCAACGGTGGCCTTAAAGCTTGGGGGGTTGAGACCTTGGGGTGGCTGGGGACAGGAGGCACTGGCCGGCTCGTGGCCCGTCCCCTTGGAGCACCCCAGGTCTCGCAGCATCGCCGCCACGCCCTTGTGCCGAATCGCCGTCACCCGTCRGGAGGAGCAAAGGGAACCCAAAATCCCACGGGACATCCCGAGCCGGCGCCGGCTCCGCTGCAGCCAAGCCCTCCGCGCTTCAACCGCCTCATCCACGCCAACGCCGAGCGCATGGGAAAGCGTTAAAATCTGCCAAAAATCACCTTTTCCCTTTGTTTTTTTTATTTTTTAACAAGACCTAACCACCTTTCCTCTTCTTTTTTTTTTTTGAGACCATCAGTATTAAAAAATAATAATAATTAATAATAATTGAGGACTACTTGAAGCGATATTTGTTAATATGCCGGTTCCTGGAGTTTCGTGTAAATATATATATTTTTATTATTTTTTTTAAATGTTTTTCCCCAGACAGAACAACTTTTTTTTTTAATTATTATTATTATTAATATTATTATTTTGGGGTGGGGGAGGAAGGGAACGATGGGCTGAGCCATCCTTGGTGTCACCACCGGTGTCACCGATCGTCGCTCAATAAAACATGGAGTTTTATTTCCAGCAAGAAATCCCTGGAGGTGTAATCAGCCCATCATAGGACTAATTAACAATGCTAGTTAATGAATCAGCTCATAATCCCTCTGCTGTTGTCATCATCATCATCCTCGGTGGTGCCTGGAGAAGCTCCAGGTACCAGAGAACCTCTGGAAAGGCAAAATTGGGAGCCCTGGGGTGCTAATTAGATCTGKTCTTCCAGGTGGGCTGGGCTGGGACTCGTTCTTTCCCAAAGCACCATCAAAAATKGGGAAAATAGCAAAAAATTGACTTTTCCAGAGTATTCTGTCTTTTCCTGTCATCCTTGGGTTTGGCCGAGCTGCCCCTTGGTCCCCTCTCCCCCTGCCCATTCCAGGGATTGTTTATTTATTGGGGTTATTTTTTATTTGATATTTGAAATTTAACTTTTTTTTCATGTTATCTATAATTTTTTTTCTAACGGGGGAAGTGACAGATGCCACAGGGAGAGTGCGAACAGCATCGGCCTCAGCGCTGCATCCCAGGAGCAGAGCAAGACCCAGTCAATCCCCCCATCCATGGGGAAAAATGGGATTCTGCCATCCCCAGAGGGGAAAACAGGGCTCAGGCAAATAATATATAAATATATATGTATGTATGTATGTATGTATGTGTCTAATTTCTTTTTGAATATATTTATTTTCCTTATATATATTTAGTCTCTATATAAGGAAAATATATTTAAATAATATTTATATATATAAAGAATTTATATGACTATATATATTCTATATATTAAAAAAATACACAGAAAAGAATAAATATTCTCTGCATAATTAAAAATGCATAAAAGAATACAAGGACTAAATGCATTTATGTGTTTTCTATTTCTTTTATATATAGTACATATTTATATATACATCTATGAGATATTTTATACGTGAAGAATATATATTTCTTTATAGATATATGTTYATATATTTATATATATAAAGAAATATATAAAGGAAATTAATTATATATTTCCTTATGTATATATTTTACATAGTTCTATATATAAGGAAGTATATATACATATAAAGGAAATATGTACTATATATAAAAATATGTATTACTTTATGTRTATTTCAATGTATTTCTTCTCTATGTAGAAAATATTTAATGTTATATGATTTAAACATATTTAATATATGTTTAATRTATATGTTTATATGTTTCTTGACATATTTATATATTTCTTTAAATAAAGGGTGTAACTCTGTAAAGAAATATATAAAGGAAATATAAAGTATATATAAAGAATATATATTTTCTCTCTATTTCTTATAAAAATGTATGGAATGTGGAGAAAATATATAGAGAAAATAGACTTCTCGAAATAGATAAATGTATGAAATATATATATAGAATATATAGAGAATATATTTCTTTATATTTATAATACATTTGTGGTTGTATGTGTAAACAAAAACATATGCAAAAGAGATATATACATAGATATATATATATATATATCTATAAAATCCTGGCAGGAGCTGAGCAGGACTGGAGGGGTCGTTCCAGGGTCCCCTTCCCCGGCATCTCCCCCGCTCCTTCCCCGCCCTTCCCGGCAGGATTTGGGGTCCCAGAGGGTTTTCCAGAGCGGCTGAATGTACTGACTACTGGAGGGCTGCGAGGGGAATTATTGTTATTTTTCATGGAAAGTTTTCTAAGTAATTTATAAAAAGTCGCTGCCTGTAAATTAAACAAAGTCTGTATGTAAGAGGATATATTATCCCGCGTCGCCCACGCTCGGAATGGTGTACAAACCGACCAAAACAGAAAATAAAAGTGTCATTCTACACAGCCCGGGTTTTTGGGTTTTCCCCAGCCTGTGTGCATGGAGCAGCTCAAAACGCGATTTCACAGGATTGAGGGGCAGCTGGGGCTCCCCATCGCTTCCCTTGGGGTTGTTTTATGCTGCTTATTCACATGTGCAGAGAATTTCTGTTTATCTTACTTGATATTCRCATTATTTTTATTTATGTAAATACACATTATTTATATACCAATTACTTTAATCTGACAACTTACATTTCATTTATGTTTAGGTAATTTCTTTTCAATTTTTCAGGTRATTTCAGATTATTTCTATTCAGATTACTTTTAGGTGGATTGTTTATATTTAGACAATTTATTTTCAAYTTATTTCTATTCAGATTATTTAATTTTACTTCTGTCCATATAATTTAATTCAGATTCTTTCCAATGAGATTCATTATGTTTCTCTTATTTATAAGCAGTTTGTTTATATTCAATTTGTTTCTATTCAGTTTATTTCAGTTTATTTAGTTTTATTTTATTTATATTCAGATTACTTAGTTAAGGATATTTCAAAGCAGATTATTTATATTCCAATAATTATAATGCATTTTATTTATATTCAGATTATTTAATTTTTTTTCTATGTGCATTATTTAATTCCAGTTTTATCCAGTCAGATTATTCATATTTATCTCACTTATATTAAGATAGTTTATTTTCAATTAATTTCTATTCAGACTATTTCAGATTATTTAGTTTCATTATATTTCTCTACAAATTATTTCATTTCCAACAGATTACTTCCAGAGTGATTATTTATATTTATCTTTTTTATATTCAGATAATTTCAGCTTATTTATTTTCATTTTATTTTTATTCTTACTATTTCTATTAATCTTATTTCTATTGATTATTTCATTCAGATTGTTCAAACTAATTTTACTTATTTTATTTCCATTCAGATAATCTATTTTTGAGGTATTTCTGTTCAGATTATTGATTTTTATTTTTTGCTATTCAGGTTATCCATGCTCAGCTGGTCCCCCCTGCTCCGATCCGAGGGGCCCCAAGTCATTGGCACAGGGACTCCGGCTGCAAAACCCTCTTTATTCCGAGTATAAAACGGGGACACAGGTGGGGGACACGGGACCGAGGGACTGTGTCACCGAGTGTCCCCAGGGGGCCCTGGGACAGCGCCACCCCCAGCTGSTGTCACCCTGCTCCAGTGTCACCAYCGGGCTGGGATCAACCCGAGGGTGCCCCAGGCTGGGGTCACACCGGGCCGGGGTCACCGCCAGGTTGGCATCACCCCGGSTGGCACCACCTTTGGCCAGCGTCACCCCGGGCTGATGTCATGCCCCAAGTTGGCATCATCCCCGGGCAAGTGTCCCTCCAAGCTGGTRGCCCTGGGTGGCAGCAGGTCCCCGTAGTGCTGAGGCCTTTGCCTGAGCTCCTCCAGCCTTTGGGACACCATGGAGACCCGTCCCGATGAGGCACTGCCACTGCATTGGGGACACATTGGGGACACCCCCTGCCACCCTTGGGGACGTGGTGCCACCTCCCGGCACCATTCCAGTCCTGGCCATCAGACCACGGGCACCTTCACCCCCGGGGCGAGGAGAGCCGGGCTGAGGGTGACAGGGTGGCAGCGCAGGGTGACAGCCAGGGACAGCGGGACGGGGCGTCAGTTCTTGAACATGTCGCACAGCAGCTTCTCCATGGGCGTGTTGCCGATGGTGCGGCGGAAGAAGAGCAGCTCCACGCGCTCCGAGGAGATGAAGCGCAGCGCCGGGAGCAGCAGCAGCAGCTTCCCAAACCTGGGGACACGGGGGCGGCCGTGAGCGGGTGTCCCACCCCGGTGTCACCCGCAGGGGTGGGGACGGCGGTACCTGACGGGCTGCCCGGGGTAGTGGGAGCGGTTGTGCTGGCCCAGCATCACCTGCGACTGGTCCTGCAGGTTCTCCACCTGCTCGGGGTCCTTGAGGCCGCGGGTCTCTGCGGCGAAAAGGGGGTCACGGCTGGGGAGGGACTGGGGACGGCCGGGGCTGGGCACCGGGGGTGGCCTCACCTGGTTTGAAGAGCACCACGGCTTTCATGCAGGCGAACTCCGTGGGGTCCACGGCCAGCGCCTTGAAGCGGCCCAGGGTCTCCTGCAGCGCCCGCATGTCCAGGGCGGCCGGCAGCAGCTTCCCGGGGGCCGGCTCGGGGACAGCCAGCAGCGGGCAACTGTCCAGGGGCAGGGACCACTGGATGGCACAGAGCAGGAACAGCTCGCTCCACGCTTCCTCCAGCAGGATCACCTGGGGACAGCGGGGGGAGCCCCAAAACCACTGTCACCCCCAAAACCACTGTCACCCCCAAAACCACTGTCACCCCCAAAGCCAATGGTCACCCCAAAGCCTCCAGGATCTGGCTGGGCTGAGGAACATCCGAGGGGAGCCATCCCCACTGCTGCTCCGTTCTGGGGGTTTCCCTTGCCCCATGGGCAGCTCCCCCGTTCCTCCTCCACGGAGGTTCCCAGCCCCACCTGGTCACGGAAGGGCAGGTTGGAGAAGACGGGCAGGTTCTTGGCCCATTTCACGGCCATGAACAGGAGGCGAGCTGAGGTCTCGTAGATGTTCTCGGGGCTGGCTGCCGGGTACGGCGCCACCTGGTACTCGCYGGCCGCCCGCTCCGGCTCGCTGCCCGTCACATCCACCGTCTCATCGGCTGCAGGGGACCRAGAGGACACTGCTTGTCACCACACCGTGGGGACAGTCCCACCCGCCCCCTCTCCACCAGCAGCCACCCACCGTCCTCGGGCTCCAGCTTGGCGCAGGTCTCAGCTGTCATCAGGCTGGCCATGAAGCGATGATTGGTGGGGGGTGTGGGCGCTCGGGGACCCGGGGTGACAGCGACAGCGACAGCAGCACCGGGAGCACGAGGAGCCGGACAGGGCGATGGGGTCACCTCACGTGTGGTGGCCACGTGCTCAGGGGGCAGCTCTGCATCCAGCTCGATGCTGTCCAGCCGGACCTGGGCCGTGCTGCGGGGCTGGCGCTCGTTCTGCACAGCTGAGGGGACAAGGTGGCATCAGCACCAGCCACCCGGCTGTCCCCCGCTGCTGTTCGTCACCGTGTGTCCCCCCACATCTCACCATCCTTGTTCATGCCAGCCTGCAGGCACTTCTTGAGCCGGCAGGCCTGGCACTGGTTGCGGTGAGCCTTGTCCACTGGGCACAGCCCCGTCCCCGCCTGGCACCTGTGGGGAGAGGTGGCACCTGGCTGCAGCCCCTGGGGTGGCCCCTGTCCCCAGTGGGTGCCCTGTCCCCACTCCAAGAGTGCCCTGTCCCAGTGAACGCCCTGCCTTGATGGGTATTTTCAGGACCCCATCTCCGCAGGTGCCTCTCCCTCTGCATTGTTCAAATTCTGCTGGGTCTCTGCCCCACTCATAGCCCATGTCCTGGGGTCCCTGACCTGCYGAGTGTCCCCAAACTGTCCCCAAGCTCCCTRTCCTGCTGGGTGTCCATCTCCAAGGTCCCTGTCACACAGGGTGTCCATCCCATGACTCCCCATCCTACTGCCTTCATGTCCCCCTGGATCCCAGCCCATGGAGTGCCCATTCCCCAGGGTTCCTGCTCTGCTGGATGTCCCCAATAGGTGCCTGTCCCTTCCACTGCTGCCCCTCTGAGTGTCCATCCTCTGGCCCCTGCCTTTTCGGGGGCCATCCCTGCAGGATGTCCTTTACTCCGTGATGTCCATCTGTGGGACCCCGGTTCTGCCCCCCTGGCTGCCCATCCGTGGGCTCTCTGCCCCTCTGGCCACCCGTGTCCCCCGCTGCCAGCCCCGCGGGGACCCCCAGCCGTTCCCACCTGTAGATGAGCTTCCTGCGGACGCTGCGCTTGAAGAAGCCGCTGCAGCCGTTGCAGGCGTAGATGCCGTAGTGCTTCCCGCTGCTGGTGTCCCCACACACCTTGCACAGCAGCACCGGGCTCAGCGCCTTCCCGGGAGCCGGGCTCAGCCCTGCGGGAGCGCAGCCCTCGTGTCTGGRGTGGCCCAGGCTGTGACCACGTCCCCTGGCCCTCCCCTCGTCCCTGCTGCCTCCCAGCACCCCGGAGATGGGGCAGCTCCCAGCGCTGCCGGCTCGGCTCAGGGACAGGCATGAGGATCCCAGCGCAGAGGGTGAGCTCTCAGAGGAATTTTAAAAAAAGAAAAATAAAAAAGGGATGAAATGGTGTCCTTAGGGATGGGGCCACCTTAGGAAGGGAGCTGAGCATCCCAGAGAAGGGCAGCAAGCAGGGATGGGAGGTGCTCTGGAGAGGGGATAGCTCTGGGGACATGGGGCACCCAGACAAGGGTCACAGCAGGGAACTGGGGGGACCGTGGAGAAGGGGAATGGCTGGGAACCTCGGGGATCCTGGAGAAGGGGATGGCTGGGAACCTTGGGGATCCCGGAGAAGGGGGATGGCTGGGAACCTTGGGGATCCCGGAGAAGGGGGATGGCTGGGAACCTTGGGGATCCCGGAGAAGGGGGATGGCTGAGAACCTCGGGGATCCTGGAGAAGGGGGATGGCTGGGAACCTCGGGGATCCTGGAGAAGGGGATGGCTGGGAACCTCGGGGATCCTGGAGAAGGGGATGGCTGAGAACCTCGGGGATCCCGGAGAAGTGACACAAATGAGGACCAAGGACACCACAAAGAGGGTTGGGCACTGCAGGAATCCCGGCCTAGGGAAGGACCACGATGGGGGCATCTCAGCCCCACTCATCCCCCCTGTCATCGTGGAGGATGACAGCTGAAGGGCCCAGGCATCCCAGAGGACCAAGATAGGCACACGAGAGAGGGACCAAGAGAAAAATCCAGCCGATCTGGAGAAGGTTGGCCATGGAGAACCCAAACACCCCAAACRAGCGCTACGATGGGGACACTGGGTCGCATGGAGAAGGACCATGATAGGGACCCCCAGATATCTCAGAGAAGGACCACGATGGGAACCAAAGGCGTCCAGAAGAAGGCAATGATGAACCGAGGCATCCCGAGTGTCTTGGTGACTGACAGTGATGGGGGACTCCAAGCATCCCTCAGGAGAACCCAGGACCCCCAGGCATCTTGGGGAATGACCACGACCACCCCAGGGAAGGACCCGTGTCCCACAGTGTCGCACCCACTGCAGAAGAACCATTTCTTACCCGTGGGGCTCTCGTCCAGCCCGGCGCTCACCGCCGACCCCGTGGGGGACGCAGCCATCCCTCGCCCGGCGCTCCCGSCCCGTGTCTGTGCTGTCCCTCCGGAGGGTCTGGCTGGGCTCGGGGTGCTCCGGCAGCTCTGCGGCCAGCGGGGCTCCTGCCTTGCTCTCTTCAAGGCGGCTTAGCGGCAGGCGCTGTGTAAGCAGCCGCCTCTTTGTCACCCTCTTAATCTTTAGTGTCTGCGCGGGGCGGGGGGGATCAATCAGCCACGCGATGAAGAATTAAAAAGGTGCTGAGCCCCAGCCCTGTAACCCTAAACCCCGCGACACCCAAGCCACCCCCGCCGCGCCGCCGCGGGCCACCGTCAGGGTGTCACCCTGTCGCCACGTGTGCCCCCCCGGCCCCGTGAGGCCGAGATTGCGGCAGAGGTGGGGACGGGGCTCGGGGTGGGGACCCCCCATATGTTTCGTCCCCCCCTTGGGACCCACCGGGTCCTGTAAGCGCATAAGCCCTTCACTAAGGCGGTTAGAGGRGAATAACGAAAAGTGGTAATTAAGGGGGGTAATTTCCCTGCCCCCAAGTAATTAATTACCGGCCCTGATGGCGAGGGGAGGGGGATGCTCGCTGGGGGCCCCGCCGTGCATCAGCATCCCCTCCCGGGCACGGGGCAGCCCCGGGGATGTTGGGGCTGCTGACATCGCAGCGGGTGGGGGCCAGGTGGCCCCGGGGTTACGCAAGCACCGCTAAACCCTCGCGGTGACAGGGCAGCACAATTTGGGATTTGTGGGCTTTAGCAGCTCAAACCCTCCCGCTCAGCTCAGGGGGTGGCGGGTGGCCACCGGCACCGGCCCGGGCTGTCCCCAGGCTGAGGACAGGGGGTCCCGGCCTCCTGTGCCCCTTCCGGAGGGGGCTCAGCAGCGTTGACGCCTGAAGGTGTCCCAGGGGACAGACACTGGCAGCAGGTCCCTGCCGAGGGCTGGCGGCGATGGCTGCAGTGGATCCAGGGCCCGACATCCAGGGCCTGAGGCATTCCCGAGGGCTGTGTGACCCCATCCCCTCTGCCGGAGCATCCCCGCATCCCCCCTGCCCGCGGCACGGCCCCAACATCCTGGGTGCGCCCTCCTTATGGGTCCCATTCCTGCAGCGTTCCTGCCCCTCCTGCCTGCAGCCTCCTTCCATCCCCTCTGCTTGCAGGGTTCCTCCTCCCCATTGCCTCTGGCCTCCTTCCATCCCCTCTGCTTGCAGGGTYCCTCCKCCCCATTGCCTCCAGCCTCCTTCCATCCCCTCTGCTTGCAGGGTGCCCCCGCCCTCCCTGTCTGCACCGTGACCGCATCAGCCTTGCCCGCACCACGGTTCCGTGTTCCCGAGTGCAGCATCATCCCATCACCCTTCCTGACCCCACACGCCTGCACCATCCTTCCTGCCGCCACCCTGACCCCATCCCTGCCTGCCCCCTGACCCCATCCCTGCATTCTCCATGACCCCATCCCTGCCTGCCCCCTGATCCCATCCCTGCCTGCTCCATGACCCTATCCCTGCCTGCCCCCTGACCCCGTCCCTGCATTCTCCATGACCCCATCCCTGCCTGCCCCATGACCCCATCCCTGCATTCTCCATGGCTTCATCCCTGCCTGTCCCCCAATCCCATCCTGCCTGCCCCATGGCTCCATCCCTCCCCTGCCTCCAGCACCCTTCCACCCTGGGACCTGCCATCGCCCTGGGGTGCTCTGTCCCACCCGCAGCCCCTTGTCCTGACCCAGATCTCTGACCGCCACCATCTGCGGCCGCGGCCGCCTCCTCCCGCGGCAGAATTATGACGCTGGGCTAATGCGGCGGGAGCAAGCTGTCACCTCCCTGCCCGGCCCTTGGGTGCCTCCACACCTCTCACCCATGGGTGAAACACCCCCCGGGGCCCTGTCTGGGGGTGCCGGGAGCACCCGCATGCTGGGGTGACAGCCCACCCATGGGGACATGGGGACACAGGCGGCCGGTGCAGGGACACCGGGAGCGGCCGGCGTGGCGATACAGCTGAGTCGGCTAATTTGTCTGTCCCCTCCTCGCCGTCGGGTAAAAGCCAGCTCCGGAGCAGGGATTTGGGAGGGGGATTAGCTGGGCCAACCATCTGCTGCCAGCCAATCATCAGCACCCCCAGGAAAGCCAATAATTACAAAAATACGGTTTCCCACCCTGTTTCCCCGTTACACCCAGCTGGGTTCTGTCACCAAGGTGAGATCCCCATGGAGCAGCATCCTGTCGTCTTCCCAGGGATGAGGGCTCTGTGAGCACCCAACTGGGCACCCACCAGGGCCCAGCCCAGCCTGTTTGGGGTGTGGGCCCGGCGCTGTGGCCGAGGGGCCCAGGGCGGTGGGTGGGGGTGAAGGAGCAAACGTTAAAGCCCGTGGCGGGGTCGTGACTCGGCTCGGTGACAGACGCTGGGGCAGATGCCATGGGATTACCCAGCCTAAAACCTTGGGATCTGCCCCCCTTCCCCCCAGCAGGCAGAGAGCGTTTAATTACTAATTTACTAATTACCCAAAGATGCTGGCGATGGGCTCGAGAGCGGTGGTCAGGAGCAGCCCCAAGGTCCGGCCGCCCTGATCACGCTGGCTGTGGGGAGCTGGTGGATGCACCTGGGCAGGGACAGGGAGTGACCCAGGGAGGAGACGCTGTCCTGGCAGTCCCGCTCCTTGTGATGACATGGGATGGTGGGGAATGGGATGGGACAGCGGGGACAAGGAGGAGACAGTGGGGACAAAGAGAACATGATGGGAATCAGGAGGAGATATTTAGGGTCAAGGGGAGACAGGGGGGACCAGGAGGGGATGATGGAGACCAGGAGGAGCAATGGGAGGTGGAGTGGAGGTGATGGGGACCAGGAGATGACAACAAGGATCAGGAGGGGGTGATGGAGACAAGGAGGAGCTGATGAGAACTGGGAGGTGATAGCAAGGATCAGGAGGGGACAGTGGGAACCTCTGTGTTCATGGGGATGTTTTGAAAGTGACCCAGAGTCAATGATAAATGTAGAGAGCAGGAAGTGACAGCAGCGACCAGGAAAGGACGATGGAGACCAGGCCATGACAAATAAGGACCACATCAGGATGGTGGGGACCAGGAAGGAGTGATGGGGATCATGAGGAGGCAGTGGGATGCTATAGGGGCAGATGGAGATCATGAGGGGCAGTAAGGACAGAGGTGGGATGATGGGGACTTGGAGGGGAGGAAGGGAATGAGAAGGGTGTGATGGGTCTGTGTGGACAGGACAACAGAGCAGATGATGGAGATCTGGAGGGGACAAGACCAACAAGAAGATGCCTTCTTGCCTTCGTGAAATTCTGTGGGACTGGAGGTGGCTGGGAAGGGTTAACAAGGCCGTCTGCACTGATCCGGGCCCAGGCCAGGCTCAGGTTTCACCTGTAATTAGCTCTTGTTTATTGGAAGCTCCTTGATAAATGATTCTTTGAAGGTTGCCSGATGACAGAGGGTGACAGTCACCCACCTGAGCCCTGCTAAAGGCTTCACTGACCCCCAACACCAGGATTAAAGTTTAATGTGACTCCAGAGCTGACCCTGGGCATGCACTGTCCTGGGGACACAGAGCTGGGGACAGGCTGGTGGTCATCCCTAGGACACTGGGCTGGGTATGGGCTGGGTTTGGGCTGATGGCTTCCCAGGGCCAGAGGGTTTTGGCACCCAGAGGTGATTTTTCACTAGTCTGGTGGTCACTGGCTACCAGGATATCATGTCCACAATAGGGGCTGTTTCACGACTCCTTTGGGGTCACCGAAGAGGTTTGTGGATGAAATGTCACACCAGATTGGGTTTGCCCCCCTGGGCTGGCCCTACAGGATGGGCACAGTGCCACGGTGCAGCCGGTCTGGGCACATTCCCRGGCACCGGTGGAGCCCTGTGCCCGTGCCAAGAGCCACCGCGGTGCTCGCCGGGGTGGSCTGAGGTCCTGCCCCGCAGCCACCTTTGGAGCAGCGGCGGCTTGGGGACCACGGTGAAGTGAGGGGACCTTGGAGGCACCCCCAAGGTGAGGCAGCAGGGTGTGGAATGGGGCTGCAGCTTGGCTTTCAGCAGGGTGACATGTCACAACTGTGGGGACGGACAAGTCCCCAAGGTACGTGGCAGCTGGCCCTGGGTCTCAGGACATGGTGTTTTCTCCCTGCAGATGAACCTCTTGGCCCAGGTAAAGGGGGGGACGGCAGGGACAACACCTGGACCCAGGTGACCCCACCCTCTGCTGTGACACCCAGTGGCCCTGGACCCAACAGCTGGGACCTGCATGGTGCTGGGACGGGGGGGATGGGGGCGGGGGGCACAAGGGGTCAGCCTGAGAAGGGTTGGACTGGGATGGGTGTCAGAGGGATGGGGGTCACAGGGATGGGGGTCACAGGGATGGGTGTCACAGGGGTATGGGTGTCACAGGGATGGGTGTCTCAGGGATGGGGGTCACAGGGATGGGTGTCTCAGGGATGGGTGTCACAGGGATGGGTGTCTCAGGGATGGGGGTCAGAGGGATGGGGGTCAGTTGGGGTTGGGTGTCGCAGGGATGGGTGCAGGCAGGGATGGGTGTCTCGGGGATAGGGGTCACAGGGGGATGGGGGTCACAGGGATGGGTGCAGGCAGGGATGGGGGTCACAGGGATGGGGGTCACAGGTCTGGGTCCCCATCCTGTTCTGCCCCCTTTCCCCACAGGTGAGCTCCCTCCTGCAGACCTTGCAAGTCCCAGACTGGCTGCTCCTCCAGCCCTGGCACTGGCTGGGTTCCTGGGTACGGCAGGTTTGGGGTGCTGGCGCGGTGGCCTCAGCCGGGTTCCTGGGCAGGCAGGGTGGCAGCAGCCCAGGCAGGGGCTGAGCTGTGCTGCTGGTGCCACCAGGGCTGATGCAGGGTGTTTGTCCTTGCAGGTGAGCAGCTCCCGACAGGTCAGTGATGGAATTGCCCCCTGCCCTGCCCATTTTTCCCTGGGCTGAACCCTGCACACCCTGCCTTCTTCTTGCCCCTGTGGGTGCTCCAGCACCCAGAGGAGCCAGCCCCTTCCTGGAGAGTTCCCATCCATGAGGACCCAAGCTATATTTAAACCACCAAGGATGTGGGATGAGCCAGTGGGTCAGTGATGCTGCAGGTGTCCCCAGGGCACCGGTGGCTCTGACAATCGGCTGGGTCCGCAGGCGGTGGCTGGGGCAGTGACCACGGCAGGGTTCTTCCTCTGYGAGGGGCTGCTGGGACAACACTTCGACGTGGTTCCCAACGGGGTGGTGGAGCCCCAGCCCGGGGACCTCTTCCTTTTCCCGCTGGCCTCTGGAGGTCTTGGCTGGTGGGCCGCCCATGCTGGCATCTACTGTGGTGACGGGGAGATCATCCACCTGGAAGGTGAGCCCCAGGAGTTGGCATGGCATGGGGACATCCCCTTGGAAGGGACATGGGATACAGAGTCCCCTTTGCCCCGCAGGCAGCTCGGGGACGTCACCGTCAGGGATCGTGGCCAAGCACGGCAAGAGCCACCTCGTGCGRACACGGGGCTCGGCCAGGGTGCTGCGCAGGAAGGGAGGGCTGGACGTGGCCGCTCTGCAGCGGCGTGTGCGGGCGGCCATGGACCGGCCCGTGGAGTACAACACCGTCACCTGCAACTGCATCCACTTCGCCCTCGCCCTGCTGGGGCTGGGCCACCTCGCCGGGGCCATGGTATGGCCACCACCAGAGCAGGTGCCACCACCCTGGGATGCCTTGGCACCCGCTCCAGCCGAGTGTCACCAAACCTCTTCTTTTTCTAGGTGTCCCCAGCGCTGCAGTGATGGAGGWGACGGTGGTCCTGGGGAACGTGTGGGGCTGGAGGATCCTTCCCTGGGCACYAGGATTGAACCAGGGATTTATCAACCCTCCTGCTTGGCAATAAACAGCTGCATGGAAACCCTGCGCCAGCCCTATTTGATTTGTTGTTTTCTCACTTGTCCCAGAAGCTGCTGTCAAGTGATGTCCCACCTTGACACTCCTTGAAGGGAGAGGCTGCTCTTTGCTCCTGATAGCCTCCTGAGACAAACATCTGCCTGTCACTGCTGACATCTAATTTTGAGCATAAAAACTAATATTCCTTGGGCTGTTGGGTTGAAAATGGGCCAAAAGGCTGGATGGGGTCTGGCTGGAGGCCAGGCACTGGTGGTATACCCCAGGAGTCAGCTCTGGGTCCAGTCCTGTCCAGCTGATGAGGGAGTGTGTACCTGCAGTGAGGGGGGAGTGAGTCCATGGTGATCCTGGCATTCCTGGAGTGCTGGCTCCTGTGCTGGCATCTCCAGCATGAGAGAGACACCAGAAAGGGCCACCAGGGGTCTGGAGCATCTCCTGTAGGAAGGRAAGCTGAGAGAGCTGAGGCAGTTCAGCCTGGAGAAAAGAATGTCCAGCGGGATTTTATCAGTGTTTATAGCGGGGAAAGAAGGGGGAGTCTGGCTCTTCTCTGTGTCTCCTGGGGGTTGGGGTCTCCATGAGAGCAGCAGGGTCCCTGAAGTTTAAATGCTTTATTCACTTCTGCTACCTGAACCATGGCCATTTCCTCTCGCTGCCTCACTGCTGTGGCATGGGATGGGATGGGATGGGATGGGATGGGATGGGAT